TATATAGTAATGTGTTCTAAAATTTACTTCAGCTGTCTTGGTTTTAGGCATTTAAAAATTTGAACATTCAGGAAGTTCATTTTTAAGTGACTTCATTGACTAATTGGGATCCACTCTCTTTTATAGGCTGCTGAAAAACTTCAGCAAGTAGAGTCTTGTGCAGTTACATGGTATAAGCAGGAAAAATTGATTCTCTTCCTGGTGCCCAAAGATGATTTAGTAAAGGAGCATGTCTTCAGAGAACTACAGAAACAGCTGCCAGGACATGCAATCCCAGACGAGCTGGTGCTGCTCAGTACTCTGCCATTTACATCCCACGGTAAGGTAACAGAGCCATTACGTTCTGGTGCCAGCTAATGCTCAGTGTATTCTTAACTAGCTTAATGGTCAATACCTCTTTCTTGTTATAAATGACACTAGCATTTGTTGTGGTAGCACCTCTGTTAAATGCTTTGCATAATTAACTCATCTTATCTTCAGAAAACCCTCTGGATCTGTGAATTATTCCTACTAATAGATAAGGAAAATAAGGCTTAAAGAGGTTAAATGACTTTTCCCAAAACATTTTGTTAGTTAGTGGTTAATTAGAGTTCTCTACAGAAACAGAATACATATATAGATAGATACAAGGTGAATATTTCTTATCTGTAATGCTTGGGATCAGAAGTGTTTTTCTTTTCATTTTTTTCAAGAATTATTTATTTCATTTTATTTGTTATCATTACTATTTGAATTATTTATTTCATTTTATTTGTTATCATTGCTATTTTTAAGTTTGCTATAAGACACGTGTGCTCACCAGAGAAAGAGAAAGAGGTAAAGTGAGAAAGCAAGCTGCCAGGTCCAAGATTTGAACTGCTGTTGGTTGCCTGGGTGTCTAGCGCCTTAATCCTATACCACATGCTGGCCTCAAGATATTACAGCATTTTGGGACCAGCAGTTGCCATAAAGGCTATGTCACTGGACTCCCATGTAGTCGACCATGGTTCAAGTCCTGGACCTGGTGGCTTAAACTCATGCCAGGCACATGTGCGTGCGTGCCCAAGATCCCGAGAGGAGAATGGAGGGGAAGGGATTGCAGCGTGGCCATCCCCCCTGGGGGGTGATTTCTTGTTTTCTGTCTCTCTGTCTCTCTGTCTTTCTGGTGAGTGCATGCACCCTATAGCAAAAACCTCTCCAAAAAAAAAGATATTACAGCATTTTGACTGATTTGTCACATGAGGTTAGAGTGGAATTTTCCACTTGTGGCATCATGTTGGTGGTCAGAAAGTTTCTGATTTGGAAGCATCTCAGATTGTTGATTTTCTGATGGGGACGTTCAATCTGTGAATAAACGAGAGACCGCGAAGGATGGGCTCATGGTTTTGGAGGCTGAGAAGTCCCGCAGTCTGTCTGTGGGATGGCGTCCCAAGAAAGCTGGTATTTCAGTCTGAGTCCAAAGGCCTCAGAGCCAGGAGAACAGGAATGTGAATCCCAGTCCAAGAGCAGGAAATGAGTGAGCTCTCCCAGCTCAAGCAGCGAGGAAAGAAGAAAGTGGCGAATTCATTCTTCCTTTTCCTTCCCTTCCTTCACAATTCCATCTTTACTCAATGAGTTCTTCAAAATACAGTAAGTGTTCCGTTAACAGTACCATTTTATCTATCTATCTATTTATTTATTTATTTATTATTTTTTTTGTTGTTGGAGAGGTTTTTGATATAGGGCCTGTGCGCTCACCAGACAGACAGACAGAAAGCAAGAAATCACCCCCGCAGGGGGGATGGCCACGCCGCAATCCCTTCCCCTCCATTCTCCTCTCGGGATCTTGGGCACGCACGCACACGCGTCCGGCATGAGTTTAAGCCACCAGGTCCGGGACTCGAACCATGGTCAACTATGTGGGAGTCCAGCGACATAGCCATTATGCTAACTGCTGGTCCCAACAGTACCATTTATTATATATATATATTTTTTAGTTTTATGTACACACACATATATATGTGTATGTATATATATATATTTTAGTTATTGCTATAGAGCACATGCTCGCATCAGAGAGGGACAGAGAGAGAGAGAAAGGGAAAGTGAGAAATCACCCTCCAGGAGAGATGGCATGCTGCTGACCCTTCAACTGCATTTTCCTCTCTGGGTCTGGAGCGCACACACACACACACCTGGTGTGATCGTGAAGCTGCCGGGTCTAGGAATTGAACTGTGCACTTGTCTGTGTGGGATCTAGCCTCCTTAACCTCCACGCCACCTACTGGCCCAACAGTACCATTTCTTTAGCTTTTCAGAAAACATTAGTCGCTCCTTTCTTATCTTTTATTCACTGTATTCTAGGTGGCGTTGGACCACTGTCTTTATAATTATCTATGACAAGCTTTAAAAAAAAATTTCCGGAGAGCATGTGCACCCACAGTAGAGAGGGAAAGTGAGCAAATGCCCTCCACAGAGTGTGGTTACGCTGCAGTCCCTTCACCACTTCTCCCTCCTTTCCGGATTTCAGGTGCTCTCACACGTGGCCAGTGTGTTTCTCACGCTGCTGGGTCCAGGAGTCAAACTGTGTGGTCGGCCATGTGAGATCCAGCTGCCTTCACCACCAGCCACACACTGGCCCTGACGTGCAATTTTAAAATGTTATTTTAAAAACATTTATACAGGATGTCACAGGTGGCGTTGGTGGTCAAGGGTGCTGGACTCCCACATGGTCGACCATGGTTCAAGTCCCAGACCTGAAAGCTTGCTTTCTCACTTTCCCTTTCTCTCTCTCTCTCTCTCACTGTGTCCCTTTCTGTTCAAATTAAAATAAGTAAATAAATAAATTTAATGTTAAATGAAATAATTAGGGAAAAAAAAATTGTTGAGCCAGCAGGTGGTGTGGTAGTTAAAGGCACTGGACTCCCACATGGCTGATCACGGTTTGAGTTCCAGACCTGGCAGCTTGGTTTCTCACTTTCCCTCTCTCTCTTTCTCTGTTTCTCTCTGGTTAAATTAAAATAATAATAATAATAATAATAATAAATAAAGTTAAATAAAATCTTTTAAAATTTTTGTTTTTTCTCTTTCATATCAAGGCAAAATTGATGTTTCTGAGTTAAACAATATATATTTAAACTACGTAAACTTGAAGTCTGAGAATAAGCTCAATGGAAAAGAGGAACTTTGGGAAAAATTACAGCATTTGTGGAAGGTACAACTTTTCAGATACAAATATATTATTATAAAGCCATTTTTTGTCGTTTGGAGTGACAGTATCTAATAAATCTGATAGGATTTTCTAAGGCTATTTACTGCTGCACAGATGTTACGTTGCATAGCTTCATTTATTCAATCTGTATTAAAATAAATGTGAGGTCCTCTGCTGTAAGATTGGAGAAAGCACTCTACAGAGAAATGATTGTAAGTGAGGTTGTCATAAAGGTACAAGTAGATGGGGACCACAGGTGATATGGTGGTTGAGGTGCTGGACGCTCCCACAGGGCTGACCACAGCTCGAGTCCTGGACCTACCTGGTGGCTTACTTTCTCACTTTCCCTCTTGGTCTCTCTCTTTCTCTCTGTGTCTCTCTCTGATCAAATTAAAATAAATGAATGAATAAATAAAATTAAATAAATAATTCTTTAAAATAAAAAAAGGTAGAAGTAGATAAAGCCTGTCTTTTTTTTGGTGGGAGAGGTTTTTGCTATAGGGCGCGTGCACTCACTAGACAGAGGGAGCCAGAGAGACAGAAAGCGAGAAATCACCCTGCAGGGCCTAGCCACGCCACAATCCCTTCTCCTCCATTATCCTCTTGGGATCTTGGGCATGCACGCACACGTGCCTGGCATGAGTTTAAACCACTGGGTCCGGAACTTGAACCGCAGTTGACTACATGGGAGCCCAGCAACATAGCTATTACGCTAACTGCTGGTCCCATAAAGCCTGTCTTCACATAACTTTTCCCTAATGGAGTGGAATATATGCTTGTCAGAGCTAAAAAATAGTCAAATCTTGCCCTTCCACAATCTGTTATCTGTTACATTTAGCATTTTGTCATTATTCCAGAACTTTCAGTAATAACATGTACATTTCTGCTTAAGGCAGTTTATTTTATATATATATATAGGTCAACAGTTTTTCTTTTCTTTTCTTTTTTTTTTTTTTTTTTTGCTACAGGGGGTGTGAGCTCACTAGAGACAGACAGAGAGAGAGGGAAAGTGGGAAATCTCCCCCTAGGGGGATGGGAATGCATACACATGTGACCAGCATGTTTATTAAGCCACCCAGTCTGGGACTTGAACTGTGCACTTGCCCCTGTGGGATCCAGCACCTTAACCACCATGCCACCTGCTGGCCCCATGTTTTGTTCATTTATAATTAAAAAAAAAAAAAATTGCTAGGGAGTATATGCACTCCTTGGAGAGAGAAAGATAAGGAAAGAAAGAAAACCCCACCCAGTGAGGGATGATCAAACTGCAATCCCTTCTCCTCTATTTCTCCCTCTTTTCAGGATCTTGGGTACACGCACACACGTGCCTGCCATGTTCTTAAGCTGCTGGGTGCAGGATTCAAACTGTGCAGTCAGCCATATGAGATCCAGCCACTTTAATCTCCACACTGCCTGGCCCAACAGCGGTTTTTCTTAAATAGTACATGGATTTTTCCTTTTCAAAGGGTTCCGAAATGAGGATGTAATTGTATAGTCTTGTTTGAAAATAAAGGGTATCTAAGTAAAAATCTTATCTACTTCATTTTTAGATTTTTAGAAAGTAAATTTGATTTATATAAAGCAAGTGAGATAAATTTTATTCCATATTATAGAGCTATTCATATCACAGTTAGCAGAGTCTTAATGTTTTTCTGGTTCTTGGCAGGAAGAAGCTGCAATGTCTTGTGGACTGTGTAATTTGTAATTCAGATGTTTGCATAACTCCATTCTCTATTTTATGGGTAGGACACTGCTCTAAAGGGAAATGTACTTTGCAATTTTAGAGTAAGTTCATGACAAAGTTGTTAGCATAATGATCATCTTAATCACTATATAATATAAAGAAATTAACTTAAAATTTAATTATTAAAAATATTTTGTGGTACTTGTGTGTGTATCATTAAGGCAAGTATTATCCTTTCTACATTACCTGTAGATGTGGAAGCCTTGGCTTTTACCTGTAGATCTGGAAGCCTTGGCTTTTACCTGTAGATGTGGAAGCCTTGGCTTTTACCTGTAGATGTGGAAGCCTTGACTTTTACCTGTAGATGTGGAAGCCTTTGGCTTTTACCTGTAGATGTGGAAGCCTTGGCTTTTACCTGTAGATGTGGAAGCCTTTTGGTTTCAGGCCTTACCTTACCACGTTTCCCTTCTCTCATCTGTAGTCTGTCCTGAGTCTCTCAGATCTGTCAAAGGTTCCTGGTGAGTCGCTTTTCTTGAATAGCGGTGGAGATTCCTTAAAGTCCATACGGCTCCTCAGTGAGATTGAGAAACTCGTGGGCACATCAGTACCTGGGCTTCTGGACGTGATTCTCAGCAGGTCCATTTCAGAGATATACAGTCACATCCTCCCAGTGGCGTTTCCAGACGAAGACCTTTTTTTTCCTGCCCCAAAGAGGAAGCTCAGCGATGCCCAGCAGGAGGAAGACGGTGGAAGAGCTTCACATCAGAAATCTCCTGTGCCTTTAAATTGTAGCATCGGGACAAATGGTTTTATTGCACTGAGCAGAGGGAGTCAGATTTTGTCTCTGAATACCAGCAGGTTTTTAGCTAAGCTAGGGTATGGCCCTTCAGACTCCTCTTCGGATTCAGTTTCAGGGGCTAACATTCAAACATTGAACAACTTAAATCCTCCAGCACTTACTGAGAGCTCAAAAGATCTGTCCTGTGTTACAAAAGTTTCTGAAGAGGAGAAACCTGCGACAGGGCCTGGGAAAATGGAACTGCGTGTGAGGTGGAAGTCAGACACAGGGAAGTGTGTTGACGCGTCCCCGCTGGTCGTCGTGCCGGCTGCTGAGAAGTCATCTGCCATGGTTTACGTCGGCTCCCATTCTCACAGGATGAAGGCAGTTGACCTGTACTCTGGGGAGGTGAAATGGGAACAGACCTTGGGAGATCGAATTGAGTCTTCGGCTTGTGTATCGAAGTGTGGAAACTTTATCGTAGTGGGTAAGTTTCTAAATTTGAGATTTGTAGACTTAAAGTGAATTACATATAATAATGCTGGTATGACCAAGTTAAAAAGAAACCTATGGGGACTAGCAAGTGGTGTGGTGATTAAGGCACTGGATACATCCACATGGCTCACATGGCTCGAGTCCCGGACCTGGTGGCTTGCTTTCTCACTTACCCTCTCTCTCTCTCTGTGTCTCTGTGGTCATATTAAAATAAATTAATGAATAAATAAAATTAAATCATTCTTTAAAAAAAAAGAAACCTGTGTATAGAGGGTTTGGTTGCTGCCATAGAATAATTCATGATGTACTAATTAGCAGTGTGGGCCTTGGGGTAGAGGCCCTGGATTTGAACCTAGTTCTGTAGCTGCTAAGATCTCTGTGAGCTTTTGCAAGTTGTTAAACCTCTTATAACTTCAGTTTTCTCATGGATGAAATGGGAATAATAATAAAGCATGTTGCCTCTCAAATTCCTAATGCTTAATGACCCGGAGCACAAACAGACATCATCTCGCAGATTCTGTGGGTCAGGAATTTGGGAGCAGCACGGTTGGCAGTTCTGGCTCAGGGTCTCTCACGTGACTGAAGCCATTTAAACACTTGACTTGGGTGGAAAATCTGCTTCCAAGATGGCTCATTCATATCACAGTTAGTTGAAGGCCTCAGTTCTTTGCTGGTTCTTGGCAGGAAACACGGTTGTTTGCCGCATGGGCCTCTCTGTAGGCTGTTTGAACACTGACAGCATGGCAGCTAACTTCCTCAGCGCAGTGATTAAGAGAGCACGAGCCAGGAGGAACAAAGGGCGTTTTTTGTTTGTTTGTTTTAAAGATTATTTAATTTTATTATTTTTTAGAGAGATTTTTGGTTTAGTGTGCGTGTGTTCACCAGAGACAGAGACAGAAAGCGAGAAATCACCTGCCCCCCGGGATGGGAAATGATGACCACGCTGCACTCTCCTCCATTCTCCCCTCAGGATTTCGAGTGGGCACGCACACACATGCGCCAGCATGAGATTTGAGCCACCAGGTTTGGGACTTGAACTGTGTGGAAGTATAGTGACACGCTTGAGTATGTGGGAGTCTAGTGACGTAACATTATACCATCTCTGGTCCCAGTAAATTATTATTTTAAAATTTGCTACAGGTCACACATGCTCACCAGAGGGCAGGGGAGTACTGAGAAGGCAGGCAGCCAGCTCGGTGACTCACACTGGTCGGCCATGTGGGTGTCCAGCACCTCAGCCACTGCCACTGCTGACCTCCACAGTACCTTTTCTGACCTAGTCTCCACATCTGCATGCCATCATCTTATTTATTTATTTTTAATTTGCTGTAGGATGTGTGAACTCACAGGAGAGAGAGAAGGAAAGTGAAAAAGCATGCCAGGGCAGATGACCATGCTGCAGTCCTTTCTCTTCAATTCTCCTTTTGGGATTTTTGGGCATGCACTAACATGCACCTGGCATGTTTTTCAAGCTGCCAGGTTTAAGACTTGAGCTGTGCAGTCAGCTTTGGGATCCAGCCACCTGAACCACCATGCCACTGGCTGGTCCTGCATGTCATCAGTTCTGCTTTGTCCTCTTCATTAGAAGTGCATCAGTCTGGACTATGGTGTGGTGGTAGTGGTTAAGGTAGCTGGGCAGTTTGGGTCCTAGACCAGTGGCTGAAGAAACACACTGGCTTGTGTGTGTTTCCCCAAAGGGAAGGTGAGATGGAGGAGGAGGGATTATGGTTTGACCCTTCCCCATGGGGGGATGCCTTCTCACTCCCCCCCCCCATAAGCACACATGCTCTCTAGCAAAGTTTTTTTTTTTAAAACAGTGCATCCCTTAGTCCAGTCTACAGTCGGGTGGAAGGGAAAGAAGCTCCACCTCTTGAAAGGAAGAATATCAAAGAATTTGTGGGCATATTTAAAACTACCATAATCATCATAGAGCTTTCAGCAAGATTCAATGATGTCATTACTTATACATCCATTAGTACATTTCTTTCTTTTCTTTCTTTTTTTTTTAGAGAGAGATTTTTGCTATAGGGTGTACTTGCCAGAGACATAGAGACAGAAAGTGAGAAATCACTCCCCAGGGGGGATGGCCGTATTGCAATCCCTTCTCCATTCTCTTCTCAAGACTTTGGGCACGTACGCACACATGCCTGGCATGAGTTTTAAGCCGCCAGGTCTGGGACTTGAACCATAGTCAACTACATGGGAGTCCAGCAACATAACCATTACTCCATCTGTTGGTCCCCACTAGTACATTTCTAGGCACAGACTATACTAGCAGGTGTGAGCTCTTAGCTTCTGCCAAGTTTTGTGAAGTTGGAGGGAACTGACTTTACCAAGATTACGGTGGCTCTGGGTGTAATGCGTCTCCCTGACTACAGCTCTCTTTGTACTCCCCCACCTACACTAGGCTTCGTTTCATAGGCTGTCCTTTTTTTTTTTAATTGAGTCATGCTTTGGGTGTCATGTCTAAGAAATCTATGTCTGATCAAGATCACCAAGAGTTTCTTCAGTTATTTTATTTTGGAATTGAGGTGAACTGAAAGAAACCTGTGCCAAGCTGGGTTCTGGGCTGCCCTCACTAAGCAGGCCACAACTTTCTTGTACTAAGTAGTAGTTACTAGGGGAAAAACACAGCACAAAAAGGATCTGGGGAATGGGGTCTCAGGTGACCAGCCGTGGCCTTGGCCACAGGCACAACCGTGGTAAACAGTGACGTTGCCTAAATAGCGGTCCCCAGATGTCATGTCCCCAGTGTCCTCTGAGGAACTAGAGTGACTTCCACTTTGTAGATTTTGACCACCTTACTCCAGCATGGCCATTTTGGCCACACTAAGGTCAGAAATTCCTTCCTGCCTTTTTTCTCACCCATAGCAGTGATTGGGAAATGCAGTTCAGTGTAGCCGTTAAGAGCAGAGACTTCTTAGATTCAAGTCCTGGCGCTGCTGCACATTAACTGCACTTTGCCCTGGGAACTTACTATCTCTGTGCTTGAGTTTCAGCATCTATAAAATGTGTAGGGGCCAGCAGATGGTGTAGCACTTACATCACTGGACTACCACTTGGCCGACTGTGGTTCAAGTCCCAAACCCAGTGGTTTGAAAATCACCCTGGGTCCATGTGCGTGTGTGCCCAAGATCCCAGGAGGAGGATGGAGAAGAAGGAATTATGGCATGGCCATCCCTCCACAGGAGGCGTCATTTCTCACTTACCCTCTCGCTGTCTGTCTGTCTCTCTCTCTGGCAAGCACATATACCCTAAAGTAAAAACCTCTCTCTCTCTCTCTCTTTTTTTTTTAATGACGTAATACTTCTCTCTTCACTGTGAGGGTTAAATGAGTTAATGGATGTAAAATATTTACAACAGCATCTGACACAAGGCCGGCCCCATGGCATAGTGGGTAACGGAGCTGGATCCCCTGTTGCTGACTGCACTGAGTCCCAGATATGCAGCTTAGAAAGCATGCCTGTGTCTAACCCTGAAGGAATAGAGAAGGGACTGCAGTGTGACCACACAATACCAGGGGTGCTGTCACCCTTTCCCTGTCTCTAACGGGCACACATGCCCCCTGGATAGAAAAAGAAGAAAACAGTACCTGGTATATAAGTGCTCAATGAATGTAGACATATTTCTTTTTAATTCATTACAGGGTCCATGTACTTAAAAGAGAGAAAGATAGTGAGAAATTAACCCTGGCAGGATGGCCACGCTGTGATCCCTTCTCTTCTGTTCTCTTAGTTTTGTGTTAGCATGCATATACACCTGGTATGTTTCTCAAGCTGCCTGGTCCAGGACAAACTGTACAGTCTGCCATGTAGGTTCTAGCTGCCTTAACCACCATACCGCTGGCTGGCCTGATTATTATTAATATTAGCATTTATTTATTTTTAACATTTATTTATTTATTTGTTGTGGTTTTCAAGTCGCTGGGTCCAGGTCTTGGACCACAGTTAGCCATGTGGGAATCCATTGCCTTAACCACCGTGCCACTTGTTGGCCCTAATATTAGCATTTCTTAAATACTTGCTGCGCTCTGGGCACTTATCCACATTATCAAAATTGTCATAGTAACTTTTTTTAAGAGAGGTATTTTTGCTATAGGGTGTGTGCGCTCACTAGAGACAGAGAGACAAAGACAGAGACAGAAAGTGAGTAATTACCTCCCAGGGGGGATGGCTACACTGCAATCCCTTCTCTTATTGAGATTTTTTTTTTTTTGAGAGATTTTCACTGTAGGGCGCGTGCGCTCGCAAGACAGACAGAGAGAGACATAGAGACAGAAAGCGAGAAATCACCCCCCAGGGGGGATGGTCACGCCGCAATCCCTTCTCCTCCATTCTCCTCTCGGGCTCTTGGGCACACACGCACACGCGCCCGGTGTGAGTTTTAAGCCACCGGGTCCGGGACATGACCCACGGTCGACTCCGTGGGAGTCCAGCGACATAGCCATTACGCTAACTGCTGGTTCCCTCTTATTGAGATTTTGGGCACACATGCACATACGCCCTACAGGACTCGAACCTCAATTGACTACGTGGGAATCAAGCGATGTAACCATTATATCATCTGCTGGTCCCACAGTAACTCTTGCAGTAGATGCATTCTTCTCTTACTGAAGATGAACCCGAGACTCAGCAATAGCCCAGTGATGGCCATGACGAGATCTCACTAGGACTGTCAAAGCCTCTTTCCACCACTGCACGCTTCATTGCTTTTTTGGCAGTGAAGCACTTTATTGTACTTTCCAAAAATAAGGGGCACCTGCTTACTAAATCCTGTTGTACGTGAGTGATTACTGCTCAGTTTGTGCTTTATGGGGCTGAGGGTTAAGTCAGACGAATTGAATATAGAGCCCAAGTACACACAAAGAGTCAGAATATAAATCGTCATGGTTTAGGCTACAGAATTCTTTTCCAGTGACAGAGCTGAATCTCATATTTATACTGTTTCCCTTATAACAAATTAGTTTATGTTCTGAAAAGTCATAGTGGAGAAATATACTGGCTGTTTACTACTGAGGATGCCGTCAAAAGCTCAGCAACCGTGGATCCAAGCACGGGACTCCTTTACATTGGCTCTCATGACCAGCACGCTTATGCTCTAGATATCTATGTAAGCATTCACCTCATCACTCTCACACCATACACAAGGAAGAACGAGAAACGATCGGGTGGTATCGAATCTGGATCAAGTGTTAACTGTTCTCACGTTGAGCGTTGTGATCTGGGAAGAATAGGCAATAATTGGGGACCAGCACTTTCTCTCTCTTGTGCTTGCTCAATCTGTCCCTCTTTAGTAAAATTAAAAATAAATAAAAAAATAAAAATAATTCTTTAAAAAAATAGTGCAAAGTCTTATATAAGGATTACAAAAATAAAAAGCTGATAACAGTTTGAATTAATGTGAAAAAGAGTTAAACCCATTTATAAGTATACATAAAAGAACAAATATAAATTAACAAGAAAAATATAAAGACCTAGATAGTAAAATAAATAAGGGACATAAATACATAGGACCCTGGAGAAGAAAGGATAGTAAATGTATGTAAACATTTCCTTTAATGAAAATTAAAACTGTGAGTATAGATACATGACATGAGGTTAGAAAACAATGTAATGATAACATCAAGTGCTGATGACAGCGGTGGGAGACTATAGTTGGTGGGCTTTCTAGAGAAAGTGATTTGGGTCACAGGTTAACAATTTCATGTCCTTTGATCTAACAAAAAAATTTTAAAAGAATTATTTATCATCATTTTTAAATTTGCTGCCTTTAGCAAACAGAGAAAGGAGTGGGGTGGGTTGGTTAGTGAGAAAGCAAGTCACCATGACTTGAACTGTAGTCAGCTATGTGGGAGTTTAGCACCTCAACCACCACCCCACCTGCTGGTCCCAATCTAGCAAATTTTTTTTTCTAGGACTCTATCCTGGCAAAATAATCAGAAACACAGACAAACATGCACCAAGATGTCAATTCCAAGTTGTTTATAAAATAATACCAAGAAATTAGCTCCAGGGAGTTTTCAGTGATAAGGGAAATAAAGTATTTTATGGTCATAATGGGATATTATACATTAACATTATATTTAAATAGTTTTACCAAAAAGTGAGCAAAACATGATGCAAAGTATATTCAGAATGATCTCAACTACATTAAATGGTGTGTATACACAAAGGGGTCCTTAAAAAGTTCACAAAAAACGTTATGAAAAAACTATGTAGAATTTCAAAATTATCTTTCTTTTAAATAAACAAAATTATCTTTTCTTTTAAATAAACTTGTATTTTAATTCCATTTTCCCATGAACACTGAAAATCTCAAAAATATACACATGCACATTTAATATCAAAAAGATCAAAAGGGAAAATGCTGAACTAATGGTTATCTCTGCGTGGTGTTCTTTGTGTTCATGCTAATTTGACTCTATAATAGGCCTGTATGTTACACTAAAGATATAATAAAGACTTACTGAAATAGACATAACAAGGATAGGATATATGGCTTTGTTAACAACCAGCAAAAAACAATTAACTTGCTTTCTTATTGCAGAGAAAGAAGTGTGTTTGGAAGTTAAACTGTGGAGGAACTGTCTTTTCTTCCCCTTGCTTGAGCCTGAATCCACATCGCTTGTATGTTGCTACACTGGGAGGACTCTTACTGGCTGTGGATCCTGTAGGCATAAAATAATAATAAGTATTGGCTTTATCACTTGCCTTTTTATTTAATTTAAAATCTTTTTCTGGGACCAGCAGTTAGCGTAATGGCTATGTCGCTGGACTCTCATGTAGTCTACTGTGGTTTGAGTCCCGAACCCAGTGGCTTAAACTCATGCTTGGTACGTGTGCATGTGTGCCCAAGATCCCAAGAGGAGAATGGAGAAGGGATTGAGGCGTGGCTATCCTCCCTGGGGGGTGATTTCTCGCTTTCTGTCTCTCTCTTTTCTTTCTGGTGAGCGCACATGCCCTATGGGAAAAACTTCTCCAAAATTCTTTTTAAAAAGATTTTTTCCTTTGGATTCTGAAAGTTTGAGTGGTTTTTAGTGAGATATAGTCAACGTCTCATTGAACCAGAATTCATTTAAAATAATCAGCATGGAGTCTAGAAAGATGAGAAAATCTTAAGTTTATATGTGTGTCTTCTATTTTTCCAACTGGCAGAATTTTCTCAAATAATTTTAAGAAATTTGTGTCCATAATAAGGATAGAACTTCTGTGCTAGATCTTTCTTAGCTGGTTTTATTGGAATTTTTTATCCTAGCCCATAAATAACACTGATTAATTTTATAGCTGTGTCTATGCATCCTAGCTTCAGCTATAATATCAGCATGCCACTGTTGCATATTCTGATGTTTTGGCTCTGCCTCTGAGATATGTGAGTTTTATATAGGGCAATTGATTAGTGGAGGGATTCTAAATGCTGTGAATTGCTTTTTGCACATGACAGGCTACTGGGAACAGAGTTTGGAAACATTGCTGTGGAAAGCCCCTCTTCTCTTCTCCACGATGTTGCTTACAGTATATTTGTATTGGCTGTGTAGATGGGAATTTACTCTGCTTTACTCACTTGGGAGAACAGGTAAAAATGTCCAGTTCTGTTTTACCTCTTTCTCAAAGGCATAGCAGTAGGTGGTAACAGCTGAAGTAAAATTTTTAACGTGGTTATTCAACTCACTCTTGAGAATCAGCTCTATTTTAATAGTCATGCTATGTGTTTCTTAATGTTTGAATGAATACTTGTCATACTACTTTTACCATTATTAGACTTTCTATTGAGGTTATGAAAATTAAGAGATGCTCCTACTTTATTTCTTTAATTTGTTGGAGGGTGTGTGCACTTGCCAGAGAGACAGAAAGAGAAAATAAGTGATAAAGCACCTCCTGTAGGGAATGGTCATGCTGTAATATCTTCTCCATTTCTCCCTTCTTTCAAGATTTTAGGCATGCATACACACACATGCCTGGCATGTTTCTCAGGCCACTGGGTCAGAACTTGAACCGTGTAGTTTGCCAGGTGTGATCCAGTCACCTTAACCACCACAACATGGGCTGAGAGTACACATGCTCCAACAGAGGTTAGCCCATTCAGCAACACCCTAATAGACAGGATGACATCAAGGTAAAAATCTTCTACATAGCAGAGGAAATCATAAAGAAGCAACCCACGGAATGGGAGAAAGTATTTGCAAACTATACTTCAGATAAGTGATTGATAAATAGAATATATAGGGAACTCACATAGCTCACCCATAAAGAAAAACCCTAATAATGGGCAATAAATCTGAACAGACAACTCTCGAAGACATATATGTGACTACAAAGCATATGAGAATATGTACACCACTCTTGCCATAAGGGAAATACAAATCAGAATCACAGTGAGGTATCACCTAACCTCTGTCAGAATGGCTAGGATCAGAAACACAGTAACAGGTGCTGGGGAGGTTGTGGATAAAAGGGAAGCCTGTGTACTGTTGGTGGGAATGTACATTAGTACAGCCATGCGGAAAACAGTATGGAGATTTGTCCAAAACCTAAAGATAGAACCAATGTAGGACCTAGTAATCTCACTCCTGGGTGTTCACCCGAAGGATAGGAAATCACTCAGTCATAGAGACATTTGCACATCCATGTTTATTGCAGCATTATTCACAATAGCTAAACCATAGAATCAACCTAAGTGTCCAACAACCAATGAATGGATTAAGAAAACATGGCGCATACACACTACTCATTCATAAAGAGCAACAGTATCCTGTCATTTGACACAGTGGATGAACCTAGAAGATAGACTGCTACGTGAAATAAGCCAGGTGTGACAGACAAGTAACTGTCCCTGCCTGACATACACCGAATGTCTGCACTCTGGTAGACACTGAGGGACTGGATGGCATGGAAATAGAAAAATGGTACATACCAGAAGCTGCATAAGGAGGGGATGGCAGGGGGACAAATGGAGAAAACAATACAGGAGGAGCCACAGAAAGATCAGTGATGGCTCAAGTCAGGCAGGTTAGAGATTACAAATCACATATGCGACTGCGCCCACTGTTTTCTCTGTCGTTACGGTGCGCTTGTAAACCGTACTTCACACTCGTTTCTTCTTCCTTTTTCTTGTATCTTTTCCTCCAAATACTGGCCAGCAGGTTCTTCTGTCACAGTTTTGAAATAAGCAAATCATATATATTCACAGGGCAGGCACACACATAGATGTGATTTAAAGCTCAAATTTATTTAATTTTCCTTTTTTTTTTTTTAACTTGCTAGACAGCACATGTGCTTACCAGAGAGAGAGGGAAAGGGGAAGTGAGAAAGTACCGTCCATGGGCACGATCATGCCTGAATCCCTTTGCCGTCTCTCCCCCTTTTGGGATTTTGGATATGCACACAGAGGTGCCCAGCGTCCCTTTCATGCTACCAGTTCTGGGACTCAAACCATCCAGCCACCCCAACCACCAGGCCATGGGCTGGCCCAAAAGCTCTAACTTCAATTATTGTACATCGACGCTTTTGGCCCAATTACTTGCTTCTTCCTACATTTGAAGAATAGAGTAAGGTAGAGTTTTATTTTAATAAAATAGGAAACTCAACGCAACTTTATCTTTTGAAGCATTATCTCTGAACATAACCCCATAGCAAAAGTAGTAACATTTTTTACTAATTTATTTATTTAAATTGTGAAAGGACACATGCACTTGCCAGAGAAAGGTCTCCTCCCCCCCCAGTGCAGCATGGTCACACAGTAAGCCACTTGTCTCCATTTCTGTATTATCAGGACTTTGGGTGTGCGTTCATGCACATGTGCGCGCGCGCGCACACACACACACACACACACACACACACACACACACACACCTGGCATGTTTCTCAAGCCACCAGAGCCAGGATTCAAGCTGTGCCTATGTGGGATCCCGCTTCCTTAAGTACTAGGCCAGGAGGCCAGCCAAGTAACATTTTAAAATTTTCTTTCTTCCATGAGAGAGACAGATGAACAGATAGCACTTCCAACAGGGCTTTGATGCTCGTCACCCGCAGCCTCAGCTAATTCCAGATATGGGCACACTTGTCAGGGAAGTCTCCAGATGTGAATCCAGAAGCTTCTCAGGTGGATCAGCTTCGCAGAGTCTGGCTTCAGAAGTAGTAACTCTTGAATAGCGTTCAAAATGAATTTCACTTCATGTTATACATAGCAGTCAGCCATGGAATAGTAACACTAGTGTGTTTTGTCTGGATTTTGCAGCTGGGATAGAGGTCTGCTATTTTCGGAAAAGGCATTATTTTCTAGGAGTTACTATTCAAAGAGCTGACATAGCTTCCATTTGTATTAAGAACCTCCTAGAGCTTGAATCGAGGAAATTGTTGCAATTACATACATCAATTATTTTTGCCTTTATTACCCTTTATAGATTTGGCAGTTCTCTACCAATGGACCCGTTTTTTCATCCCCGTGTACCTCAGCATCAGAGCAAGAAATATTTTTTGGGTCTCACGATTGCTTTATCTACTGCTGTAATGTGCAAGGTGACCTCCAGTGGAAATTTGAAACGACGTCAAGGGTGTACGCAACACCGTTTGCTTTCCAGAACCACAGTCGCAGCAATGAAATGCTGGCAGCAGCTTCCACTGATGGGAAACTGTGGATCTTGGCATCTCAGAGTGGACAACCCCAAAGTGTGTATGAACTTCCCGGAGAAGTCTTCTCCTCTCCTGTGGTCTGGGAATCAATGCTCATTATCGGGTGTAGAAATAATTATGTTTATTGCCTGGATCTATTAGGTGGCAATCAAAAATATAGTCCTTGTTAGTATGTAGATGTGAAATGTTTGAAAATATTTTGCCATTAGCCTGTGGAGAGTCTTATTTTATATTAAAGATTATATTTTGGTTAAGAAACTTGTCTGCTATGCTTTATTGAAGAATGTTTTACACCCATAAGAGCAACAAAAGCTTTTAGTAGTTAGAGAAGAAAACACAATATATTTAGTACCACTGTCTTTTAATTAGGTGTGATTTCGTGTGTTAATTTGACTGGGGTAAGGGGTGCCCAGATAGCTGGTGAAACATCACTCCTGGCTGTATCTGTGAGGATGTGTCTGGGAGATTAGGAATTGGAATCCGTAGACCGAATAAAAAAGCGTCGCCCTCACCCGTATGCCAGTGTGGCTGGGCATCCAGTCTGATTGAAGGCCTCACTAGAATAAAAGACAGAGGAAGGGTGAATTCGCTCTTTTCTGTTTCTTCCATAAGGAAGAGAGAGAGACAACACCCCCACTGAGGCATTGACACTGTGGTCCACCTCCACCTTTGGCCAGCCCCAGACCATGGGCACATGTGTGCCTGGTGTGCTCAGGGAAGTCTCCAGACACAGATCCAGAACCTGCCCATGGGGGTGGGATCGGCCTCCCAGAGCCTGTGTCTTACACTGTGCCACCTCTTCTTGTGTCAGCTCCTTCTCTTCTTGAATGAGGACATCCGTCGTCTTCTGCCCTTGGACAAGAGTTCCTTGTCCTCAGGCTTTGAGAGTCTGGGTCTCACACCAGCAGCCCCACCTCTCCCTGGTTTTCGGGCCCGGGAGTTATACTGCTGACTCTCTGGAGTCTACACCTCACAGCAATAGTGGGACTTCGCAGCCTCCATAATCACATGAGCCAATTCCCATGATAATCTCTTTCTTAAAATCTATTAGTTATAGGGGACCGGCAGTTGGTGTAATGGCTAGGTCGCTGAACTCCAATGTAGTCGACCATGGTTTGAGTCCCAGGCCCGGTGGCTTCAACTTATGCCGGGTGCGTGTACATGCATGTCCAAGATCCTGAGAAGAGAATGGAGGAGAAGGGATTGCGGCGTGGCCATCCCCCCTGGGGGGTGATTTCTCGCTTTCTGTCTCTCTGGCTCTTTCTGGCAAGCGCATGCACCTCACAGCAAAAACCTCTCCCCCCCAAAAAAAAAGAAAAATCTTCTATTCCTCTGGAAAACCCTAATATATTAGTCTACAGATTTTTTTTTAATTGCCAGAGGGTATGTGCACTTGCCAGAGAAACAGAAGGAAAAGGCAGCCTCTGAGGGGGCACAGTAACACCACAATCCCTTCTCCATTTTCTGCATCCTAGTGGGATCTGGAGCTCACACGCACTGGCAGGCAGGATCCTTGAGGATCTTTTTGTCTAAAGCTCAGACCATTTGGTTCCAACTTACAGATGAGGAAAACATTTTATTTGCCCTGTTTATTATTTTTCTCAAAAATACTGAGTGAAAAATATAATAAAGTACCATTCAAAATGCCTTGAAGTTATTCTTGTTTAACGAAAGCCATGGGAATACGATGAGTCTGCATGTAGCTGGTCTTCGAAATTGGTAAAAACTTGAAATCCCATTGACCAGTGCTGGAAATCTTGTGGGTATTTTTTTTTTTTTTTATTGAAAGATTATTTCCCTTCAACGGTGGACATTGTACATTAAAACTTCATACAACCAAAATAATATTAAAATTACACTAAGATATTTTCATCAAGTCTCTACTTAATTTTATTGTTGGTAAAAATATTGCAAGCACTTATAACTAATGTTTCTGCTTTAAAATAAGCAATTAAACTAAATGTCACAAGAAGGGACAATACTATACATTTGCAGATAACTGGCTAAAATGATAATTTAATAGTAATATGTTGGTATAAGAAACAATTGCACTTGAAAAATTAAAAACGTAAACAAAACTCTAGGTTTATATAGAAGTCCATGAACAAAGATTAATTATAACTTTGCCGGAATATGTGTATATGTTTTTAAGTTTTTAAAAAAAGCTTGTGTATTTAATGTAGCAATTATTAGCAAACAAAAACAGTCTTGTACTTTTTGTTTTTACAGAATTTCCCCATAGTTGTTGCTCAGAAAAGACTGCAACGCAACTAAAGCAAAATAACACTTCACTGGTATTTAGTGCAAATCTGGGGTGACTCTTCAATGAAATGTTAAACATGTACCTTTAGAAATTCTCTGGGAGCGAGAACTGGGACTCCCTGTCTCTCAGTACACTCTTCCGTAAAGACTTGGATGAGAAATTTTTTCCGAGGTATTTCTCCTACTGCATACAGGTTCAGTGGTGGCTGAGCCAGGACAGGGCTGCCTCAGCCACCGTTCTTCACTAATGCTCGTATTCCCTCTCCTGTTCCCTGCCACGACTGTGAAACTGTCCCCAGCC